TGTTTGAACCACATCAATATGAATAAATTATATCCCAGCTGATGTGATGCTTTTTCAGTCATAGAAGTACAGAAATTCCATTACAGTGTTACTTTGTCAAGAAAAGCCATTGAATCCACAGCCCAATCTTTCTGGCCCCAGAAAAGATGAGAGAATTGCTTTTCATGTTCTCTCCTTGACTTTCTATAATATTTAAGATGATAGTCCATCTCTCCTCCTAGAAATTCTTTCCTCTCTTGACTTGGGGACATGATTCTCTGTCCTTTTCCCATTTATCTAACTGTTCCTTCTCTACCTCAGACACCTCTTGTTCTTCCCATCTTCTAAAAATGTCATCAGTTCCTCCTCGGATGCTTCCGGTTTCCAGAGGTACCCACAGCGCTAACTCGGATTCTTGATGTGACACTTACCTCATTATACTATGTATTATACTAAATTATGTCTTATCTCTCCTATTGGATGGGTAAATTCTTGAGAGCAGGATTGACAGCTTAATCATCTTTCTTTCTCCCTTAAGACCTAACAAAATCTTTTGAACATAGTCACTGCTGTAAGTAACTAAGTGGATAAGCATATAAAATACTTTTAACAGACTATTAACATTAAAACAGAGCATTACAAACACTGTTGGAAATTTTCCTATCACTCTCAAATTAGCTTATGATTTGTAACAAGAAATAAGAGATACTGACTGAATGTACATTTTACATGTTTTCCTATTATGAATATTAATATATCAAATTTGAATTCACATGCTAAAAATTATAACAGCACTTACTATGTGTCCATTCTAAGAAGTGTATATGCACTAATTCACTCTATCCTCGCTTCAACCCTTTGTTTTAGATACTATTTTTATATTTTTCATTTCATGAATGAGGTAATAAGGCAAACAGTTAAAGGACTTAGTCAATGTCACACAGCTGGACAAGGCAAAGCTAAGATTTGAACCCAGGCAGCTTTGGTCTCAGTCTGTGATTGTAATCCCAAATCTTACTTAAATAGCCATCTACTTAATAAAAGAGTAACATGTTAATTGACCATACCTCCATGGTACCCACCAGCCAATCAGGAGTGAGTATGCAAATTAACCTAACAAATATGGTAGGTTAATCTACATACACACCACCCCAGTCACTTCAGGGCTCTGGGCAGAGTGGGAAGGCAGAAAGGCTGCTCAGGGCCAGAGCAGAAAGGTGGCTCCGGCCAGAACAAAGGTGTTGCTGGCAGCCAAGGGAAGGAAGGCCCATTCTTGTACGAATCTTTGGGCATCGGACCGCTAGTTCACTATAAAAATCTAAATCTACATAAGCATTTTTTAACTTATTTAGAACTTTTTATGAAAATTTGTTATTTATAAGTAATATAAACAAATATATTTGTATTAACTACATTAAAGTTCTGGCTAAGGCACACATATATAATTCACTAATGCATATTTCATAATTTCACTTATGTATTAAATATTACAATATTTTAGGCTATTTTATCCTACTTCTGGATATTTAAAGGTGTTACTAATCTTACATGAAATCTTTTTGAATATCTTGTGAAATTTGTATTTCTATATAGATTTTCTTTTGTATTCTATATTGATTTTTTTTAAGACTTTTCAAGGATTTTTAGAGAGAGAGGGAGAGGGAAAGAAAAACTAAAAATATTCATAAATAGCATGAATATACAATGGAGTCAAGACAGTCTCTTCAATAAATGGTGTTGGGAAAATTGGACAGATACATGCAAAAGAATGAAACTAGATCACCAACTTACACCATACACAAAAATAAACTCAAAAAGGATACAGGACTTAAACATCAGACGGGAAACCATAAAAATATTAGAAGCATCCACAGGCAACAAAATCTCAGACATATGCCAAAAGAACTTCTTCACTGATACTGCCCCTAGGGTAATGGAAGCTAAAGAGAAAATAAACAAATGGGACTACATCAAAATAAAAAGCTTTTTTACAGCAAAAGAAACCATCAACAAAACAACAAGAAAGCCCACTGTGTGGGAGAACATATTTGCAAATGTTACCACTGATAAAGGTTTAATCTCCGACATCTACAAACAGCTTATACAACTAAATAAAAGGAAGATGAATGATCCAATTAAAAAATGGGCAATGGACCTAAATAGAATATTTTCAAAAGAAGACAGAAGGAAGGCCAAAAGGCACATGAAAACATGCTCAAAGTCACTAATTATCCAAGAGATGCAAATCAAAACAACAATGCGGTACCATCTCACACCTGTCAGAATGGCCAACATCAACAAATCAACAAACAACAAGTGTTGGCGAGGTTGTGGAGAAAAAGGAACCCTCGTGCACTGCTGGTGGGAATGCAGACTGGTGCAACCACTGTGGAGAACAGTGTGGAGTTCCCTCAAAAATCTGAAAATGGAACTCCCATTTGACCCAGTAATCCCACTTCTAGGAATATATCCCAAGAAACTAGAAACACCAATCAGAAAGGATATATGCACCCCTATGTTCATAGCAGCACAATCTACAATAGCTAGAATCTGGAAACAGCCTAGGTGCCCGTCAGCAGATGATTGGATCCAAAAACTATGGTACATCTACACAATGGAATACTATGCTGCCATAAAAAAGAAGGAATTCTCATCATTTGCAGCAACCTGGATAGAACTAGAGAACATCATGCTGAGTGAAATAAGCCAGTCAATGAAAGAGAAAAACCACATGACCTCTCATTTATGGATATTAAAAAACATTATAAACTGACAAACCAAAAGATAGATATAAAGACAGTAAAGCAACAAGCAGACTGTAAAATTACAGCAGGAAGAGTAGGGAGATCTGGGGGAGATAAGAGATCAACCGAAGGACTTGTATACATGCATATAAGTACAACCAATGGACACAAAACTCTGGGGAAGGAGGGTATGTATGGGGGGGGGGGGCGGGCAATGTTAAAATATGTACACAGATAATAATTTAATAAATAAAAAAATAGAAAAAAATTCATAAATATGTAAGATAAATCATACTAAGGCTACTTAGCTCTAGGTGGCACAAAGTACAACCACAATAATGTTATAATCTTGTTGAAAATGACGATTTAATATATGATGATAATTTTTTTGTGTTTTTTTAAATATATATATTTTTTTATTAAATATATATTTTTTAATTGATTTTTCACAGAGAGGAAGAGAGAGAGTTAGAAACATAGATGAGAGAGAATCATCGATCAGCTGCCTCTTGCACACCCCCTACTGGGGATGTGCTCTCAACCAAGGTACATGCCCTTGACCGGAATCGAACCCAGGACCTTTCAGTCCGCAGGCCGACGCTCTATCCACTGAGCCAAACCGGTTTCGGCTTTTTAAAAATATATTTTATTGATTTTTTTTATTTATTTATTTATTTATTTTACAGAGAGAAAAGGAGAGGGATAGAGAGTTAGAGACATCAATGAGAGAGAAAATATCGATCAGCTGCCTCTGGCACACTCCCTAATGGGGAAGTGCCCACAACCAAGGTACATGCCCTTGCCTGGAATCAAACCTAGGACCCTTCAATCCACAGACAGACACTCTATCCACTGAGCCAAACCAGTTAGGAATGATAATAGGATTTTAAAGGCTATATTTAACCTTACTTTTTTTTATCACTATAAAATAATTTCTACTATTAATAAGTCTGCTTAATTTTCAGATGTTGTTATACTTTAAGCTTTTAGTTTAATAACCCAAATTTGGTGATGGAAAATTCTACTATTAAAATGCAAAGTGAAATTTTAATCAACAAAATTCTTAAAATGTGATTAGCCACTGTCAGTAGGCCTGATTACACATCAGTTTTTATTTGTTTTGCTTTGTCTTGGCGTATTTTTGTTTTTTGTTGTGTTGTTTTCTTGCAGCCAAGAAAGTAAGGATTTATTAAGCAGATGGTGCCATGGCCAGAGTCACAGATAGCTAATGCTTAAAGATCTGGCTCCTCAGTAATTAATTCTTTAAATTATTATTTTATTGATTTCAGAGAGAAAGGGAGAGGGAGAGAGAAATAGAAACATCAATGATGAGAGAAAATCATTGATTGGCTGCCTCCTGCACACTCCCTACTAGGGATCTAGCCTGCAACCTGAGCCTATGCCCTTGACTAGAATGGAACCAGGGACCCTTCAATCTGCAGGCCAACACTCTATCCACTGAGCCAAACCAGTTAGGGCAGTAATTAATTTTTGAAGAAAAATTATTTCAGTCTTCACCTGACCAAAAGTAAAACACATTCAAAAATGTTCAAAACTAAAATCCTAACAACTTGAACTATAAAAGTAAACTTCTCAAATGAGACATTTGTTTGCCCTCTTTAAGAGTGTAAAGTTCATGTACATATCTTAGATGCCAACGGGCTCATTCCCCAGGTTCTTGCACTTGCTGTTCACGCAGCCAGAAAAGAATCTTCACCCAGATCCCCCCCCGCCATCTTGCCCTTTTCCATCATTCAAGCTCAACTCCAATCTCTTCACCTAGCAAGGCGTTGCCTGGCCAGCCCACCCAAAGAAACCCACTGGTAGGGGTTGAACTGTGTCCCTCAAAAAGATGTGAAGTCCTAACCCCCAAAATCTCACAGCGTGGCTTTCCTTGGAAATAGGGTTGCTGCAAGGTAATTAGTTAAGAGGAGGTCAGCCCTTAATCCATTGTGACTGGTGTCTTTCTATGAAGAGGATACACACAGACAGCGGCCCGAGGGAGAAACATGTGAAGGAGGCAGGGATTGGAATTACCCTACCACACACCAAGGAATTCCTGCGGCTACAAGAAGGTAGAAGAGGCAAGGAAGGATCCATTTTGATTTTGGATTTCTGGCCACCAGCACTGTGGGAGAATACATCCCTACCATTTTGCGCCACACAGTTCGTAGTACTTTGTCACAGCAGCCTTAGGACACCAACATACCCACCACCACCACCAACTGCTCTTGCCCCATCAGTCGCCTTTACTGCCGCCATAGTTATTACTAATACCTGAAACAGCAATGTGCTTTTCAGTGGTTGTCTCCACTCATGAGAATGTCAGTTCTCTGAGAGCAGGTCCTTTTCCGACTTCAAAGCAGAGCCTGGAATATGTAGTACATGCTCAAGAAATATTCTGTGCAATAAATGAATGATCCTGAGAACGATAATCAGATAAAAGAGTATCAGAAGGACAATTCATTTCCAATAACTGGAAGAGCTACAAACCCTCCTATAATCTAATAACAAAGTCTAATACCAGATGTATCTAGCCCTGAGTGAGACTTCGTACCATCTTAAACCTCGGAGATAAAGAAAAACAGCTTCAGCAAAATGCATCCCTTACTCACGGCTTCCAAGATGTGGCTGAAATAATATTACTTTTCGAATGAATGTTTTTATGTGTCGGGAGAGGGCTCATCTCATGGAAATGTAGTAGAAGCCTGATGACTAAAAGAGGACGCAGAAGATCTTCAGGGAAAACAAGTGAAAAGTGAAAAGAGGAGAAATGTGAGGTTGTTTGGTAAAGGAGTAGTTAGTGTTGCCCCACCGCCAAGGCCCTCTTTGTGGAAGGCATGAGCAACAGCGGGCACTCTTAGCCGGAGTCACTGGCTACATATTCGGGGGCTCTCTGGTATTGGGGTCTCTATGAGCAATTTTTAAAGTGAAATATATAGAATAGTCTAGAGATTTCCATTTTTTAAACATATATCTTTACTGATTTCAGAGGGAGAGAGAGATAGAAATATCAATGATGAGAGAGAATCATGGATCAGCTGCCTCCCGCACGCCCCACACAGGGGTTGGAGCCCGAAACCCAGGCATGTGCTCTGACCAGGCGTGGAAACGTGACCTCTCGCTTCATAGGTGGATGCTCAGCCACTGAGCCCCGCCATCTGAGTGAGTTTTCCATTTTAAAAAAAAACTTTGCTATTGGGTGGGGGAGGTTCATGTTTAATAGGGGTGTCACCTCTGAGGAATACTTCGTTTCCTGAAAATGCCAGAAAAATGAGAAGGGACGTGTGCTCTGAGGGAAGCAACCAGAGGTCCAACAGAGTGGCCTCTCGGGAGCTTTACAGACAGAAAGCCACAGGAAAGAGGCCTGGCCCTAAGAGAGAAGCTCCCCTCGTGCGTGTTTTGTTCTCCGTGTTTTGGGAGAACACAACACACAAGCAGGCAACCAAAGCAAGATGCCCAGGGAAGCAGGGGAACCAGAAGCTGCAGAGGGGACTCAGGGAGGATGGGTTGGGGTACTAAATGGAAGAAATGGGGGAGAGAGAGAGACTGGTGTGGACAGAGCAATGGCAAGGCAATGGGGCTGACAGGGAACAAAAAGCAGGAGGGGAGAGGGAAGGGCAGCCGGAGTGACCTTGGTGACTGATCCCTTTTTTACCCCAAATCGGTCAGAAAGTAAGATTTCTTAGACTTGCCCAATACAGTGTAGTAAACTAATTTTGAAAGAAACAAAATGTTGACTATTAAAAACAACTAACTGTAACAAAATCGTAAATCTACTTTTCATGTCCAAGGCACTTCCGAATTCTACAGCACCACAAGGCAGGTGAGCAAGAAGTCAGTGATGGCTGAACAAGTTGAAAGCAAAAAGTAGTCATTTTGGTTTACTGGTCATTTGTTTTCCAGGTAAACAGAAGTTTCATTAATGATTAATAATTGTACTTTGTCTCTAAGTACCAAGTTAGAGAACTCATTCCAACAGCCACCATCGTACCCTCGTTAAGCAGATGAGGCTTCCAGAGAGCACAGGGGGAGCTGCTCAACCAATGGAGAAGCTGGGACAGAACGTGCACAGCTCCTCCTGTCAAATACAGACTGCTTCTCTGGAGCACAGTGCACTGCGACAGGAGTGCCACATCCCTCTATTTTCACAGAGGGATGATTGGGGGGAAAAGAAGTTAAATGTGGCAAGAAGCAGCAGTTGGGCACAATACTGTTAAACCAATGTATCTAATATAGACTACTAAATCTCTTTTTTTTTCTTTTTAATATATTTTATTGATTTCTTTACAGAGAGGAAGAGAGAGGGATAGAGAGTTAGAAACATCGATGAGAGAGAATCATTGATCAGCTGCCTCTTGCACACCCCCTGCTGGGGATGTGCCGGCAACCAAGGTACATGCCCTTGACCGGAATCAAACCTGGGACCTTTCAGTCCACAGGCCGATGCTCTATCCACTGAGCCAAACAGGTTTCGGTTAGGCTACTAAATCTCTTAAAGAAATGCAGTGAAATTCCTCCCAAATGCCATAGAAATTAAATACACTAGATATACTAGTTAAGGATCAAACGCATCCTGACATTTTAATAGCCCCGGAAGGTTGTGGGCAGGGTTTTCTAGACACTTCCACAGGTCCTGCACAGAGCCACGCTCCCAAAGGTCACCCCGTGCTTCCTCTCCTGTGACAGCGAGCCTCTCTGACCTTTCCCCCGTCAACCTTTGTGCTCCAAATCACCCTGCTCTCACACCTGATGCTCCATGGAACGCCACTACCAGGCTGCTGTCTATCCCTCCTAATTTCCAAATAAATTTGTTTAAAAAAAGACAATAGCCACTACGTTATCAGAACTTCCACAGAGGAAAGGCATGCATAGTATTTACTTGGTCATTTATTAGGATACACATTTAACCCTGACTTCAGGCCTAGAAGTTAATAAGAAGAGACTGATGTGACATTTCCTCCTGTATACTTTATTTTTTTTATTTATTTAAAACTACTGATTCTTAATAAAGGGCTATGTCTGTTAACTTTGCATAAATGTGTATTAATGACGAGAATTAAACTATTTTTATCTCCTTGTAGGAAAATTATTTTGCAGCATACCCCTGATTGTCACCAAGTTTTTCCTTTTCTTCAGTATAATTCATATAACTCATGCTTATTAAATTTATATAGGCAAATTCTTCTTTTTCCCAAAATAATCTCCTACCAACCATTAAGCTGCTGCTACCTTGGCTTTCTCTGTCTTACTATTCCTTCTTTTTTCTCCCAGAAATTTATTTTAGAGAGAGGGAGAAAGAGAAACACTGATTTGTTGTCTCACTTATTTATGCATTCATTGGTTGCCTTGTGTATGTGCCCTGACCCAGAGATTGAACCCATAACCTTGGCATATCTAACCAACTGAGCTACCTGGCCAGAGTTGTCTCACTATTCTATACCTTAATATTCGGTACCACTTTGTGGGCTCCAGAAGGACAAAGGCACAGGGAAACAATCACAATGAAAGCATGTGTTTAAGATATACCATAAAAAGGTATTCCAGGAAATGGTTACTTAAGGGATGAATGGGGATAATCTCATCAATAAAAGAAGGAAAACAGAAGAGATCAATGATTCCCAGAATGGACTCCCAAAACCAAGGCCACATTTTTTGTTGTTGTTAATCCTCACCCGAGGATACTTTTCCATGTGAGAGACCACTTGGTTGCCACTCCACAAGCCCTAAGCAGGTACCCTACAACCAAGGTACATGCTCTTGACCAGAATCGAACCCAGGACCTTCAGTCCACAGGCCAACACTCTATCCACTGATCCAAACCAGCAAGGGTCCAAGGCCACCTTTTTAAAATGCAGATACTATGCCAAAACCGGTTTGGCTCAGTGGATAGAGCGTCAGCCTGCGGACTGAAAGGTCCCGGGTTCAATTCTGGTCAAGGGCATGTGGTTGCGGGCACATCCCCAGTAGGGGGTGTGCAAGAGGCAGCTGATCGATGATTCTCTCTCATTGATGTTTCTAATTCTCTATCCTTCTCTCTTCCTCTCTGTAAAAAAAAATATATATATACATATATATATATATATACACACACATACATATATATACATATATGTATATATATGTATATATGTATATATATATATATATTTTTTTTTAAGTTTAAAAAAAATGCAGATGACTAGACATTGTACCAAAACTCAGGGGTAGCATAGAATCTCAAGGCCGTGACCCATAAAATAACATTTCCCTCTATTTTATCTCTGTAAGGGGCATCTGATGGAGTTGGAGTAGCAATCAATACCATCTCCATTTCTGAGTTCTCCCAGGTAAGCTTCTACCATCACTTCTTCAAAGTCTGTTCTCCATGAACTCTCATCACCACCCAGGTAGGCCCTAATCAATGTCCCTTGGGTCTCCCTCCCAGTAAAATCAGCTAGGTGGGGTCACAGTGGCAAGGGCAGGGCAACTACAGGGAACCAAGGTGTGCCAACCTGTCCCACAGGGCAACTGCTTCCATTTCCCTCCTTCTTCAACTTTAGCCTGTCTGGGTAGTAGTGAGGGTGAGCACTTTTTTTTTTTTTTTTTTTTTTTTAATTTATTTCAGAGAGGAAGGGAGAGGGAGAGAGAGTTCTAAACATCAAAGATGAGTGAGAATCATCACTCCGCTGCCTCTTGCATGCCCCCTACTAGGAATCAAGCCTACAGCCTGGAATCAAACTATGACCTCCTGGTTCATGGGTTAATGCTCAACCACTAAACTATACCACTGCACAGTGAGGGTGGGTCTTTATTGCAAATACCATGGATCTAATGTTGCAAAGGGATGCTGTTGGTTACAACTACTCAACATTCTTGATCAATACAAGTGAGCCTCAAGAAATTTAAAAGCCATTTTGATTTCAATAGATAAGTTGACATATTTAAAAATTAAGACAGTGGTAAAAGGTATACTAAATAAGTGTCCTTCCCATCCCCATCCCAACCACCCAGTTCTCTTCCCCAGAGGCAATCACTATTATCAGTTTCTTGGGTCACCTTTCAGAGACAGTCTTAACAGTTACAAGCATAAAGCACATGTCTACAAACTCTTATTAAACCCCAAGGGCTATACCCTGCCCTGCAACTTGACGTGTTTCCTTATATCCTAGAGATCATTCCATATCAGCAAATATAGAATGATCTTATTCCTTTCAACAGCTACCTAGCTTTGTTTCTGCTCATCATTTATCTAAGTGATCTCATATTGATGGATATTTAGCTCTCTCTAAATCTTTTGTTTACAGACAATGCTGCAATGGATGTGTTTGTGCAAATTCATTTTGTGATGTACAAGAGTATTTGTAGAACAACTTCTCAGGTTTTCTGAGATGAGAAGGTAGGTAAATTTTTAATTTGGGCAGTATTTCCAAATTGCTACAC